ATTCTTGCATCTTTCTCTAACTCTAAGTCCTTTTCTAACATAGCCATTTTGAGTCTTTTGTTATCCAGGCGTCCTCTCACATGGAACATCTCTTGGGACGCAATGTTCTTCTCATTTAAGGCTTTGTTATAGTCTGTAAGGACGGCAGCACAAGTGTCATTAAGATCATCTATGTATGGTTGACAGTCATGCATGCTATAGTTTAGAGTTTGGATCATGAGTTTTACCTATTCGACGATGCTTAGAGTTCCATCCTTTTCCATGTAGCAGTAGTTCTTTTCCAACTTTGTAGACCCATCATCATCCGCAGTTGCCAGCATGCAGATTTTTCCTTTTCCTTTGACACTGCTGATGGCTTCATCTTCGTCTCTGGATGACCAAACTTGATGGTCTCTTTTGACATGGGCTACGTATGCCCTTGCCTTTTTCCTTATCTTCCAACTCTTGAGCCATTCTAAGGTAGAATGCTTTGTCTTTTACTACATTGGCCTTACAATCTCTTGCAAAGTGATTCTCTTTGTTGCATTTGTGACAAATTACAACATCAGTCTTGTCTTCTGAGGGAGTACCGGAGTCAGTGGTTTGAGCAGACTGCGGTGCCTCCTTTGGTTGATTATTTTGAGATTATGGTGGTGGATGAGAACTTTTGGGATATCGAGGATGGTTATTCTGGGAACTGAGGTTACGGTTGAATGGAGGTTTGTTGAACTGTTGATTCTTGCGGAAGGAAGGAGGTGGTAGACGGTTGAACTGTTGGCTAACCAGAGCAATAGCCTTCTGAAATTCTTCTTCATCATCATACTCTGAATCAGCTTCGTATGACTGCGGTGGAGTGTCATACGAGGGAGAGTAAGATTGATTATGTGGAGCTTGTGCTATGAGAGCAAGTGGTCCTCCGAAGTCAGCATAGTTTTTGAGTACGGTGGATTCTTGTGCTTGCAGTTCTCCATAGAGCTTGTAGAGTGACAAGGAATGAATCTTTCTATCGCCTTAGACTATCATCTTAGCCGTAGTCCAATGTCTTCCCAAACCATTAAGAAACTGAAGATTTGTTTCATGGTTACTGCCGATGGTGCCCGCATTGGATAATTTGGTGACAATCAGGTTGAACCTTTTGAAGGAGTCTTCCAAGCTTTCGCCGGTATGAGCTTTGAAGTTGTTGAACTCATTGAGTGCGGTAGTAAGCTTCTTGTCTTGTGCTTGTTCTGAGCCTTTGTACAGATTCTTGAGAACTTCCCAGATCTCTTTTGCTTATTTGCAATTTATGATAATATCGAAGTTGTCAGGAGCAACTCCACAGGAGATTTCATAAAAAGCAACAGCATCATTTTCCATTTTATCGAGATCATCCTTGGTGGGACGGATCATAACTGGTTGTCCTCCTCCTATTCTGGTTGTAGCGCCGTCAGTTTGGACTGGTGTAAGGACTGGGACATGTGGTCCTTCTTCTACGGATTGCCATACATCTCTACCAAGTCTCCTTAAGTATCTTTCCATTCTTTGTGACCAGTGATGATATTCATTTTCTACCAGTATTGGGGCTCGGTTAGAACCACCAACACTGTTGGAAACATTCAGAGATAACGATTGTGCCATTTTTGAAAGTTTTTTTTTTTTTTTTAAGAAGTGAGCTTCAGTGGTATAGAAGGCCCTTTGAAAATCAGAGTTCCGTATTCAAAAAGCAACCACTATGGCTCTGATACCAATTGTTGAGAGAAAAACTTAGAGACACACTTGAACAAACGTTAGAACAAGTATATTGCGGAATAGTTAATCTCGAAGGATCTAAAAGCTCAACAATAATATTAATAAGTTAGAGTTAGATAGTTAGAGTTAGATAGTTAGAGAGTTAGTTGCGGAAAAGTAAAGAAATAGAAATGACAACAATTGTTATATCAAGTATACACATAAGTTGATTCATAACAAGGAATGCAATCAAACCAAGTTAATTAGGAAGATCAAACTTAGTGATTAAGTCACAAAAGACTTGCTCCGAAGAGAGGTTATAATCAGTTGTATGAGAGTAAGAAGGGATGAGTAATTGGATAGAGAGATAGAAAAGATAACTTCAGAAAAGTGTATTCAGAATAGATAGATGCGTGTTTAATACAAGAGAATGAACTCTATTTATAGAGACTCACTAAGAACACTAGATTACATCTCTAATAGCAGCCATGCAAGGCATACTGGACAATAGAGAGTATTACATTAAAAGACAAGTAAAGTAATCTAGTAAAGTGACTGCGGTAGGAAGTGACTCTGGATGCGGTTGCTGATGGAGGAGCTTGACTGCGGGTGCTTGACGGCTGTAGTAGCTAAAGTTCAAGAGGGTCACTTTTATGATTCAACAAAAACGCGCAAGGAAAAAAGGGGTGAACCTCTAGGATGTCCAGCATAAGTACTCGAGGAGTACCGGAAGGATTGTCAGTTGAGTAAGTTGCGTTCTCAGTACTGACGGGATCAGAGTGCACTTGAGGATTGTTATTTGCAAAGACTAGTGTTAGACTGAATGACCGGGCGGAAGGTCAAAGGAAGTGGTCAGCAGGAGTTAGATTCATCAGGCAGGAAGGTTGAAAGCAGATTGCAGGACAGTTGGCCGTAGCGGACTTCAAGGATGAAGTCTAGTTTAAGTGGGGGAGAGTTGTAACACCCAGAATCAGAAAGATCAAGAAAGAAAAGGAAACCCTAAGTCAAAGGGGTCAACTCGTCGAGTCTAGGGAAGAACTCGACGAGTCGGAGCGGGTTCCGTGTCAAAGATTAAGTGACCGACTCGGCAAGTCGGCGAGTGGACTCGGTGAGTCTGGTCTGGGTTTGGAAACCCTAATTCCGAGACTTGGTACCCTATTTAAGCATCTTATTCTCTTCCCTAGGGCTCATTTACAGCCTCTCTCGTCCAGAACCCAAAACCCTAGCCACCCAACTCCATTGTTTGAGCTTTTGAGAAGATTAAGGGCATTTAGACTGCGTCTTGGAAGCTTGGACAGAAAGGAGCAAGGAAGGAAGAGTAGATCCAGCCTTCATATCGACTTGGAAACTGTTAGGAGGTAAAAAGTCTGAACCTTGAGCTTTCAATTGATAGATCCCCTTTCTAGCTTGCCTTTTTGTCACAATTAGATCATTTCCAAGTAGAATCCGAGTATTAAGCCTTTGAGGATGGATTGGACAACAGATCTGGACACTCTTGAGCTTTAGAAGCTCAAAGTTGTTGGCTTTATCCAGCTAAGGTCCCATTTCATGACCTAGGCCTTCATTGTAGCTTGGATTAAGTTTTCTAGACTCATAACACTTTGCATGCACGTAAAGTTAGCAACTTTACGTGCAATGCTAGCATTAGGAGCCTAGATCTATGAGTTGGAAGTGATGGAATGGACTGTAATCGACAGAATAGAGATGTAATGAAGTGGACTCGACGAGCCTGTTCATGGACTCGGCGAGTAGGGTCGCAAACCCAAACCCTTCTGTTTATGATTCGGATCAGTGAGTGGAGTTAGTAAAGGATTCAGCCAGACTGGGTCCGTAATGGACATGAAGAACATAGTACTCAACGAGTTCGAGGAGGAACTCGGCGAGTCCAAGACAATCTCCTTAGTTTTGAAGATGAACTCGACGAGTTGTTCATACAACTCGGTGAGTCACAGACTGGACATGTTCATAGGATGAAGGTGAACTCGACGAGTTCGATGAAGGTTCATTCGATGACATTATAGAAGGAGAAATCGTCGAGTCGTTGCTAAACTCGACGAGTAGAGTCGGGAAGGGGTCAAAAGAAAGGAAAAATACTCGACGAGTTGGCGGCCCAACTCGACGAGTCAGGTCAACTGGAAGTTGACTTTGACTAAGGCTTTGACTTTGACCAGGGGTAAATTAGTCACTTTACCCAAAGTTTAGCTAGTAGTGTTGACTGAGTGTCTTTATGGGAATTGTAGCCGGGGGAGTCGCCGGAGCAGCAATCAGACATTTCCTGATCAGCATTTCCGCAGTCAGCTTTACGAGGTGAGTTACCTTCCAGCAGCGGTGGGTCTACGGCCACAATGTCGTCCCACCAGTAGGAGTTGAATGTTGGATGATTGTCTTCGTGATATCATCTAGGTTGCTACTACCTGATATGTTATATGCTGGCCTCATATGTTATATGTGATAGTAGTAGAGTTCGGTTGTTAGGACCGAAGAGTAGGTCAGGCACCCCAGATATGTCTGACAGCACGTGATGATATGTTTATATGCTGGCATGATACGATATATGTGATAACGGTAGTAGGAGGGGATTAGTCCCCAAGTTAGGTTGTTAGGACCGAAGGGTAGGTCAGGTACCCCAGATATGTCTGACAGTAGGTTATGCTATGATATATGCAATAGTAGTAGTAGGGGGTGGAATAGTCCCCGAGGTTCGGTTGTTAGGACCGAAGGGTAGGTCAGCACCCCAGAATGGCTCGACACGGGTAGGTCAGTACCCCAGAATGGCTCGACACTGGTAGGTTGGCACCCCATAATGACTTGACACGGGTAGGTTGGCACCCAAGAATGGTCGTATCGGGTAGGTCGGGCACCCCAGAATTGCCGGCAGTATGTATGCTATGTGATTGTATGGTATGTGGTACGATGTGGGAACTCACTAAGCTTCATGCTTACAGTTTTCAGTTTTGTTTCAGGTACCTCTTCAGCGAAGGGGAAGGAGTCGGCGCGGTAGCTGCACATCATACACACATTGGATTCCGCATTAGGAGATTTCTTGGGATTGTACTCTGACATTGTCACTACTTTTATGATATGATATTCAGACGTGAGATTATGGTTTTTACGAAATGATATGACTTCATGATATTTTCTTATGAATGTTTTTCTATGTTGTTATATCAAAATCGAAATTTTTGGACTTGAAAAATGGGATGTTACAAGAATTAAGAACAACAACCCAACAATCAATAACAAAAGGATGTATCTTATGATTTGGACGCATACCCTCAAAATGCACCCTATCCATTATGTCTCCAGACTCGGTTTCAAACAACATTTCCCTTCAAACAAAAAATATTGCATTGTAGTTAAAATATATTATTTAACTAAAACTAATGTATTCTAATATTTCTTTTGAATAGTGTTGCAATATTCCAATAAGAATATTACACAATACTCAAATTTATAAAAGTATTCCTTCAAGAATATGCATATGTAATAAAAAAAAAATTTACTAAACATTGTGAATTTACTTACATTGGATCTTTGTCTCCAGCGCATCTAAATATGATTTGCGCCATTATCTCTTGCCCAGTACTGACTTTTTCATTTAAGTCAACTACCCTATTCACAAAAGGTGATATAAAAACATATGGATTAGTCACCTTCCTTTTCCCTCTTTCATTCACATTCTGACCCTTTTTCCCTTTCTCATCTAAAATATGTTCTTCATTCCCTTCTAACTCTCCATCTTCATCATTACCCTCAGAATTATAACCAGTTTCTGCATCTGTCATTAATTGGGTTATTTGAAGATCAAAGGAAGGAAATTCTGAATTTTCAAATGTTAGTTTTGTTGGAACAGGAGATTTGACAACTGGATTTGGAATTGTATTTGAATATGGATTTCCGTTTGAGAATATTCTAAACAAATCCTCATCTAATTTTTCTATGAATGAATCAGACCAAGGGGAAAAATCAATAGATATACCTTTTGGATTGTGTTTTGGTGTAACAATTGAGCTCTCACCTATGTTGTTGTCTCCAACCATCTTGTCTACAATATTCATACCTTTTGGATCGTGTTTTGGTGTAACAATTGAGCTCTCACCTATGTTGTCTCCAACCACCTTCTCTACAATATTCCCCTCCCTAATTTTCTCCCCACCAATCATTTCACCACCCTCAACAAGATTTTTGTTCTCAACATTCTCTTCTAAATTCTTCTTTACAACAGTTTCGTCTATATTATTCACCTCTAAAGCCAAATTTATTTTTTCATCAACATTTATGCCTTCAAATTCTATTTGTCTTTCTGGATTGTGCGGATGTCTAATAGTTTCCTCGCCAATATTATTCTCTAAACCCAAATTTATTGGGTCGTCAACATTCATATTTTGATCTTCTTCTTGTCTTTCTTCATTCTCTGGAAACTTCTGTTGTAATGGTTTAACAGCTAAAAATGCAACCAACTTTGTATTCATTCCTTCATCTTTATCATCATCAAAATCAGAAATGTTTGTTTTATTAAGCTCTTCATCTCTATCTGCTTTGACTTCAGTTCTCTCCTTAATAGTTTCTGATTTCTCTCGACTAGAAAAAAGTGTAGTTGAAAATATGTCTCTAAACTTCCTTATCATCTCCTTCGTTCTATTGTCTTCAGGCAATTTCGATAGACAATGAAAAATAATATCTTCCATATTATCCTTTTTTAGTTGACACATTGTTGAAAATTTTTTCATACTTTTATTCATACTCCTGGGAAAAAAAAGACATTAGAATATTTTTCTTATATTAAGTTAGGACATAATTAAAATATATTCTAAAACATAATTTAATAATATATTCTACTTAGAATATACCACAATACGTGTGTCCTGATTCTCATTCTTCTCACGTTCTAAATTTGAACTTTGTTTAATTAGATTTCCAACCCCAAATCCACCAGCTTCAATCTCAAAATATTGTCTTTCCTTCAACTTATCTGTTGTCCACATCGTAACTAATGGTGTTTTACATTCTATTTTTTGGAGCTTGCATTCAATTTCATCACAGTAAATTAGCTGCATTATTTCAACATCATATTAGATATCCATTTTTAAGAAAAAAAATAAGTATATGAAAAAACATACCAATAACAACAACATCGGGCCTCTGTAATAACACTTGGGGTTGTCTGGACACCATCTCCCTTTTGAATTTTTCACACAGTACAACAAATACGCACACCAATTGATTTTAGAAATGTCATCTACTTCAATAAGTGCTCTAACTGGAACTAAGTTGTTTGTCCCCATAGGAATGGATTCTGCAAACGTATTAACAAATAAAGCTATGAAACCCAGCTTGAAATTCATATCCACTTGTTCGGATTTTTGAATAATCTTCTTGTAGTTTGTTGCATGTGCCTTTCCACCTTCAAGTTCCTTCATCAATCCATCAAACACTTGATGATCTTCGCTAACCATGTCCAAGTCAAATAAGCTTTTTCCAGTTCTGGGTAGACCAAACACTTTATGAATTTTTTCCTTTTTGATCTTTATTCTTTTTCCTTTAATCAGAATACTGTTTGTGCCTTCATCATAATGCTCAAGCACAAAATGGCAAAGTTTTAAGGGAATACTCTTAATGTTGATCTTTAAAAATGCTTTAAATCCCATCCGTTTCACCCAATCTTTTTGTTCTGATGTCAAATAACTTACAGCATCTGTCATCAATCCAGGTGTTAATCTAATGTTTATTGAAGGCAACTCCTTCAATATATCTTTCACAGTCTTTTGCTCTTTCACGGTTTTTTGCTTCTTTATTGCTGCACGATTGTCCCCACTATTCATCTTCCTTTTTGCTTCTTTAATCTTTGTCACTCCTTTAACATATTTTCTATCACCGGTTCTCTTTTTTACATAGATTTCTTCATCAGATTCATCATCTAATTCATTACATCAGTCATAAATGTTAGTAACACCACAAAAATCCAAAAATCCTATATCATCTAATTACAAAGTAATATTCCAACAGAATATTATACATATACACTTATTATATAAGAATATTCTATGAAATTTAATCCAAAAAATACTATATCATCTAATTAAAATGTAGATATTTATTCAAATTATATCATTTATAAAAAATTAAACTCAAATGTTGCAAAATCCTATATCAGCTAAGTAAAACAACAAAAATCAAGTATTATATGATTTATGATATAATAATATCTAGAATGTGCAATATGAACCATAAACATTTCATATCATAGAAACATACTTTCACATCAATAAACACTAGAAAAATACTTTCACATCAAAATACCTAGAATTTCAGTTATGATCCATAAGCAATTCATGTCAAACATAGGCTATGAAAATTATTGTTAGAAACACTCTAATATTTCTATTGTTCCATAATATTGGAATTACAAAGTATAAAATCATATTTCAAAAAAAAAAGTTTAGATTATTTTATCCGTTGACTGTGTCTCTGATTCTGTTGAAGAATCAGAAACATGCTTTTTCTTTTTGTGCTAATTTGTTGTGGCGCTTGAAATGTTTTTTGACTTTTCTTTTTTTCTTTTTATTTACTTTATCTGCATCAATAATTATTCTATTAGAAGAATGTAATATACTTTTATTGGATGTCAACATATATATATTATAAAAGACAACATATTTTACCATATTCATCACTCTCTGTTGTGGATGTCTCTGACTCTGATGTGTCTGACTGTGAAGATGAAGAATCTGAAACATAGTGTCTTTTTTTCTTTTCAAGTCTTTTCTTCTTTTTTGTATTTTTAGCTGTATGAAGAAATTTAAAAATTGAAATAAATTAGAATATTTATTTTAATCAATTTGAATGTTCATAATAATCAACTGAAAAAAATAAATCCAAAAAATTTCTTTTGTTAAGTATTTTAAAGAATGATTGTTGATACCTTTTTTTAATTCTTTTTCTATGATGTGAGGATGAATCAGAAGAAGATTTAGAGTCGCTTTCAGAAGTAACAACATTTTTTTTTTAATTTTTTTTCTTTGATTTTCCTTCATCTGCCTTCTTTTTCTTTTGATTTACAATTTGCAAATCTTTATCATGAAATTTAACAATTAAAATCAATTAGAATATATGATAAACAAAATTAGAATGTTCAGAATAATTAACTTACAAAAATAAATCCAAACATTTCTTTTTTTATGAATTATTTGAAAGAAAGTGTGTTCATACATTTTTTAACCCTATCTTGATCCCCTGAAACTGTATGAAGAAAATTATCAAATAAAAACAATTAGAATATTTATTAAAATCATTTAGAAGTTACTAAAAGCAATTATAATATTTAATCTAAAAATACTTACAATTTATACATTTATCTATATAAATTTCTTTCCATGTTTTTCTTACAGTTGCATTTGTTTGCACTTTTTTAACTGCATCACTAACAACAAATTCCATTAGAATTCATATTAGTTGAGGATATATATGGTTACAGTTCTTTAAATACATAACAACAAATTTCTAATATCAATCAACATAAAATTCACTAGAATACAAAGATTTTTTTTTTGGCTAAACACTATACTACAATCATAAGAAGAGATTTATGTTACCAAAATCTATAGTATTAGACAATTTATGGATCTAAATCTAATTAAATGATAAACAATTAGTTAGAATAACATAACATATTTGCTGATTTTGATTAAGAATATTTAGATCAAATGAAATGAGGAATAATTAGAACACTTTTGAATAACATGTAGAGTTAACATTCAGATACATAGACTCTATATAAATCACACACTAAGATTTAGGTTTAGATTGTATGTTTTATAATGCTATATTCCATTACATCCTGACTTCGACATATAAATCGCTAGTGAAATATCTAGATTATTAGACATTTATTGAAGATACATAACGATTTAAAGTGAAAAAACTTTCTATAATAAGAACATATAGGTTTATTGAATAAGAACAAGAGGTTTATAGTATTATACTTACTTGGAACAACTGTTGATACAAAATCAGAATCAGAATCTGTAGAATAAGCCATTTGATTCGATATCAATTTCAAAATCAAAAGGTTTTTAATGTTCTAGTTGATTATCGAGGGTTTTCTTGTAAGAATCCGAAGATGAATTTCAGGTATAATGAAAATAAGGAGTCTGAAACAATGATCGAGATTCGGAAGCAGAACGAAGATCGAGCTTTGGATCAAATGGGTTTTCGTGTTCGTATCTAGGGTTTTTAGGAAGAATATCAGGTGTTTTTGTGTGTTGAACGAAAAAAGAATGCAAAATTCCATTCCTGCCCCTCCGTGTCTTGATCTAATCCCAAAGTTCCATTAATTTACAAAATTGTCACCGCCTATTTTATGGTTTAATCTAAATTAATATCAGCATTTGATTATTCAAGATGAGTGGACAAGATTTGGTATCCTCGTCTCACAAAATCTAGTGGTCTCACATGAACCTAACTATATATATATATATATATATATATATATATATATATATATATATATATATATATATATATATATATATATATATATAGGGTGAGGTTCAATAGAGAACCATAATTAACCAAGGAACCAAGGAACCAAGGAACCAAGGAACCAATCTTTTTTTCAACTTTTAGAACTTATTTTTTATAAAAAAAAACTAAAAATACAGAAATTCATAACTTTTTATCCTTTTTTCCAATGATATCAAATTCGATTTTTTTTTACGTTAAATTCACAATGTGAATCTTTGAAAATTCACAATGTGAATCCGAAAAATATTTTTCACATTCACAATGTTAATATATGAATTTAGATATTTTTAGATTTTTTTTCGATAAAGAACAAACTCTAGAAATTGAAAAAAAGATTTGGTTCCTTGAAGAACCAATAATTATGGTTCTCTATTGAACTTTTATATATATATATATATATATATATATATATATATATATATATATAATACAATAACAATAAGAAAATAGTAAATAATATAAATATCACATTACGTCATATAATATTAGTTTACTTATAATAAAATATATTAAATAGCGTATTAAATAGTGGGTAGGGAGAAGGATAAACCACATCAAATAAATTCAAAGCTGAAACATCTTTTCATTTTGCTGACATAAACCACATCAAATAAATTCAAGATTCCATCATATGAAGTGTTGCCTATAGTCGATGCAAAACATCTCATCCATATGGACCAAACAAGGAGCAGGGCGTATCTGTATATAGTAAGGGGCGTATATATATATATATAGTAAAGGTGGGTCGTAATACCCACCTATTTTTAAAAACGTAGTATACGTTATATATAACAAAATTAGGAAACTACAAGGTCTATGTATGTATAATGAAGGTAGGTCTAAGACACACTAATTTTTAAGAACATAGTATAAGTTATTCATGAAAAAAATAAGAAATTACCTTATAATTTTTTTTCAAGGATCTATTTTATAAACTTTATCGCTCAAAATGTATGAAGCCCATAATTTATATTTCAATCCATTTAAAATAGTTCAATGATTATGTCCACTTAAAATTTAATAATCAGACAATAATACAATCAATTTAAAATTATACAAAAAAAGGAAAAAAAAAAAAACAAAAATGCTTGAATTATAAAACATCGCTTGACTGAGGCGTGATCAACATGTGTAAAGGGTGATACAATGTTGCCGATGGTATAAGCCTTGTCCAATTGGTCATTCCTTTTGGAATATATGTAATGTGGACTTTGTCTCAACTAGGTCGACGAGCGCAAAAACCAGTAGACTGAAAAAATAACCAAACTAAACAAAGATCGCTATGTATGGTTCAAGACCGGTTCATTAAAGACTAAACTATGGAAGACTGGTCCAAACCATTTCTTTACCTGCATGAACAACGGTACATGTAGCACTCTGTCTGAGTAAATGTGTGAAGTCTCAACTCCCATTTAGGCCAACATTTTGACTGCCAACTGGGTCCGCTTTCTACCCCAACAGCCAATTTATTTGTATAGGCCCATCTAATAATATATCTCTAGCTACCCATTTTAGTAAAGACTATTTTTGTCCAATTATATATTGAGTTTTTTGTACAGATGTTTTTAATTTTAGTAAAGACTATCTTTGTTCAATTATATATCAAGTTTTTCTGTTTAACGTTTTTTTAAGGTCCATTTATTTTCCTATTCCTTATCGATTTAGCTTTTTTATTAGATTTACAAATAATTTTCCGTTTTAGATAACTTTCATTTGAAAAAACCTTAACTTTTTTCTCTTTTAATTTTTTTTTCTCTTTCAAAAAAAAAAAAATATATTAGCTTTTTTTTCCTTTTATGAAAAAACTCTCATAGTTTATTAAATTTTAAGAGAAAGTAGTAGATGAAGAACAACAATATAAGTTAGGTTGAACTCTTATTTCGATTGGACTTCGAAAGTTCTCTCTCTATTTATCATCATGCATAAATACTTGTACCAAAATAGTTTTGTATGTTTTTTAATATTTTTGTTAGTTAGTTTTGTATGCTTTAACTAATTTGTATTTATTATAAATTTAAAATTTTTGAATGGATTAGGAGATGAAAAATATGAGTTTGAATATGTTATGAGATAAAATGCTGGAAATGATAGGAGAAAGAAAAAAACTGAAGTAAGAGCGATGTGGAAAACGGATTGAGAGGAAATACAAATGGATACCTTCCACCCTAACTTCAATCCGTTAGACTCACAACTTTTTTATTTTTTTATTTTTTTTTATTCCATTTCATAAATAGAATTATATTATAATAATAGTTAAAAGAAATTACAACAACAACAACAACAACAACAACAATAATAATAATAATAATAATAATAATAATAATAATAATAAGATAAAATTGTAAAAATTATTAATATGTTTGTAAAAGATATGTGGTTTTGTATGGTTCAAAGTAGTCCATTGATTATGACAATGAGCCACTTTGATGAAGTGTAGGTTATTAGGCTCAAGATTTATCTTATTTCCTATATATTGTCATGTATTATTCATAATTAGGGTTAAGAGTGAGGTAAAATGTAGCTGCCAATCATAATGAGGTTTCTTAGGTAGAATATATTTACTTTAATTTTTTCTTATAGTGTAATTTATTCCTCATGTTCTTGAATAAATCATTTGATCATTCGATATCTTCATTATTGTGTTAGTTCTTATTTTCCGCATTATATTCATCAAATCGTTCTTAGGGTTTTGACCCAACAATTGGTATCAGAGTGAGTCTTTGAAGATCAATTGATTTTTGAAGTATCGGTTCTTGATTTGATGATTTTCTGCATAAGATATTGAAGATTTTTAGTGTCTTGGCGTTTTGGAATCAAGGTTCTTATTCGTTCTACTCATGAAGATTTATGACATTCTTCTACTGTTCATCGTGGTATTTTCTGTTCTTTGGATCTGATTTGTTTTGAGATAAAAGTCTTTTGATTCATTAAATCTATGCTTCAAAGTCACGTTTTTATTATGTTCTATCCTACTGTTTTTTGTTTGGATCTAAAAATCAATTGTTCCAAACTATGTTAAGCCCAGTTTGTTACTGTTCATCCGTTTCATATTGAGTCCAAATGTCATTAGCTATTGTCCATCGTGATACGTTTCCGTGTACATCAATTTTCGTTGACCTAAATGGTAAAAGTTTTGACAATTGTTTCTTATTTCCCGTTCTCTTGTTCTTGTCGCATCTTCTGTTCATTGACTCAATTCCATAGATCACAAAATTGTCATTATCAATAATCGAAATCAAGTTTTTGTTCAAGTTCGATAATCGAATTCGAGTTTTTCTCTCCTGACTGGTCGATTGTCTGATATTTTTGTGATAAATTTTGTTTCGGATCTCAATATCGACCTGTTTCATTTGGAAATCTATTTGAAGAAGTTGGATTTGGTGTTTGTGAAGTACTGGGTTCTGAATGGTCAATTTTATCTCACAAGTTCTTATCATTTGTGAAACGGGATTCGTAATCGAAATGTTGGTTTCTGAAAAGACGATGTGCTCACAATCAAAACTGTAAAATCACTTCATTGGAACACAATCAAATTGAAAGGACGATGGTTGCAGATGCGTTGGCTTCACTGCCGAAATGATTTGAACATATGTTCGCATTTACTGGTCAATTAGAAAGTCAAAATTGGAATGAATGAACTCACCTGCGAATATAATCGGAACGAATGTTATGTGAATCGCAATCAGAATTATTTGGCTTCAGAACTAGAACAGAATTCGGAATCGGAAGTGTGATTGGATGGGTTGATTCAGAATGAACTGTTGCTCACAATCGGAAGTGTGATGTTGGATCAATTGATTCGGAACGAATGGACTCGAAATCAGAATTGAGACTGGACTCAGATTCATAACTCACATCTAAATCGGAAATGAACATGTGCTCGGAAACGAAGGGTTGATCGGAGTTTGGAATCTTTGTTTGATCTCCGAATCGATCTTCATATTACGAGTGGATTTGAATAGTGATGATGTGTTCGTTTATCAGGGGCAAATGGGGAAGAAGAAATTAATATACACTTTTAGTCCCTGTAATTTCATCAACATGGCAGTTTTAGTCTCATTCTCGAAACTGTTACAGATAAAGGAGAAAATGATGTTGTTTTACTATTTCAGTCCCCTGTCTTTCAACAAATGACAGTTTCTGCCTAATATTCAAAATTGTTTGCAAATTTAAGGGCTGATGAACATACTTGGGTTTTTTAATGCACATATTTTATTCGTGAACGGTACATATGAGATTCCAACAAGTCTTGGCGGTTCGGAAGGTCCGTTTACGCGATAACGTCAACTTTTTTTCGACTTTTTCTGATTTTAAACTTCATTGTTTATTCCATTTTGTGACTTTTCAAATTTGAAGATTTTTGATGAAGCTTCGGGTTGGTGTCGATATGAAGGTAGCTTTTACAGAAAAGTTCAAGAGGAACTCTTCTAAAGCTTTTACAGAGAAGTAGCTTTTACAGAAAAGTTCAAAATGAACACTTCTAAAGCTTTGATATATCTCCGACTTTTAGTGATT